CGCCGAAAAAGGCCTGTGGTTTTCTCTCGATTTGGGTTTCCACGTCAAAATCCATGTTTCTATATTTTGGTGTATTTTTAGACTAGTTTATCGTTTTTGCCCGGCTAAAAACGATATACCGGTCGATAATTTACACCATCATTTTGGCGCCGACCGTGGGACCCGAACAAAAAACCATGATTTCCATTTTGCTCATACCAAAATCCACGAAGCAAAATAAATTCATCAATCAAATTCAAATGAGGGAGGTGGTGGTTTTGGAAGGGTGAAACTCTAATCTGCCGCCATCCAACACTGTCGGTGTGGCATAAAAAATCAAGCGCAAGAGAGCATTTCTGCTTGGATCTCCCGTGGCCATCGTGGATTAGATCCACTTCTGCTGCGGGCTTGCGTCATTACAACTCAAGAGGGGCCAGTCACAACCAAATCCTTGACCACTGTTACCCTGTCATTGGCCAGGGGAGCGCGAATCTCATTGTGGCTGCAATGCCTTGAGATTTTCTGACAACATTGCTGCCAAAGTACCCCACTGCCGAAGCTAAGCCACCGTTACCCTATTGATTAGTCTTGTATCTATCGAGGTCGAACTCTTTCATAAACTGCCACTATGGAGATTAACCGCCATTGGAGACGGAGTTGCCACTACGATGGGCACCAATTCAAACCGGAAAAGTATGCGGGTGCATGGATTCTGGGTCAAGTTCAAACCCGGGCAAGGACGCCAAGGCTATCGGGTTATTGGGCATGAATCTGGGCGCCTCGTCTCATAGATGGGTGTTCCGAAGTTCTCATATTACATCCCGAGTGGGGCTGCCGCCGGCGTTCTTGTATTCGGGGAAGCCAATTTCTCGTTGTCGAAGCCGCTGAGCTGCACCCTGCTGGTCCGATTATCGGCCCAATTACCCTCGTTTGATCGGGTCACCTACATGATTCAACTGAAAGGAATCTGGGTGGCGATGGTTCTGCTAATACCCAAATCCGTTTTGAAACCAGTCAACACTGGAGCGGGTCAAACCATGGTGGATTTTGGCACACAGTTCACCTTCCTCCTCCAACCTCGCCGTCGATCCACTCCTCCTGTCCTCCGTTCATCCACCGACATCGTCTTCCTCCTCCAAGACAAATCTGGGTGTACTCACGATCGTGGTAGCCGGTGTCTCCAACAGCCCCTTCCGTCCTAATATGAGGCGACTTCGGATCGAGGATGGGGTTAAGGTCGCCACATCAGAGGAGAAGAAGCTGTTTGCAAGAAGCTGATGAATTGCCGGAGAGTCTTTCCAGGAAAGATCCATCTTTTTCAATAGGAGCCACCAACCAAACACATCAAGTGCACTTGCCAATCATATGGGCCTCAAAAAGAGTAATTCACGTGGAAAGCAAAAGGATGTGAAAAAAATTGATAGATACTCCGTATCAATAATGAAGAAAGAGGAAAGGGGATGACATGAAAGTGGGCCATGGTTATTGACACCCACCTTTCAAAGGAGAATAAGAGAGGATCAAGTCACGGGAATTTCTACTCCTGGACAAAAAAAATTTAATGGGTGTAATAATTGAGCTAGAAAGAAAAAGAGGTATCCTACAAAACATCACCAATGGCCGTACAAAGATTATTGGTCTTCAATAATCTTGAATGGAAGATATGCATTGAACATTACGAAGGAGGGAGAAAAAAGTTCTCCCACTTATTTCTCAAGGGGCCCACCACCAACAATTGGTGGAATGGGTTAGCATTATGGAGCAATAATTTGGGTATTTGTACATGCCTTTTGGATGAATTCAAAGGGCAGACTGAGACACAGGCCCGGACCTGGCACGCTAGTTACTACACCGGTCTTGCTCAGTATAAAATAAAAAATAAACCCGGAAGAGGGGCCCCGGATAAGGGGTATGCCTGCAAGAGGGCTGGACCTGGAAGAGGGTTCGAACCGTACTTACACGGACTCATAAAGTTTGACCGGTATCGGGGAGTCA